AGATTTAGCATCATGGCAGGATACAAGATCAACATCCAAAAATCAGTTGGATTCCTCTACACCAGCAAAGAGATTGCTGAAAAGGAAATAAGAAAATCAATATCATTTATAATAGCTACCAAAAAAATAAAATACTTGGGAATAAATCCTACCAGGGACACAAAAGACCTGTACAAAGAAAACTATAAAAAACTATTTCAAGAAACCATAAGAGACCTACATAAATGGAAGAACATCCCATGCGCGTGGATAGGAAGATTGAATGCTGTGAAAATGTCAATTCTACCCAAAGCAATCTATACATTCAAGGCAATCCCAATCCAGATCCCATCAACATTTTTTAAGGGTATGGAAAAAACAATCACTAACTTTATACGGAAAGGAAAGAGACCTCGGATAAGCAAAGCACTATTGAAGAAGAATAAAGTAGGAGGTCTCACACTCCCAGATCTCAAAACCTACTATACAGCCACAGTAGTCAAAACTGCCTGGTATTGGTACAATGACAGACACATAGACCAATGGAATAGAATTGAGAACCCAGATATAGATCTATCGACCTATGGTCAGCTGATCTTTGACAAAGGGCCTAAATCCATTAAATGGAGAAGAGAATGTTTGTTTAATAAATGGTGCTGGTAAAACTGTAGATCCATTTGCAGAAAAATGAAACAAGATCTGTACCTCACACCACACACAAAAACAAACTCCAGATGGATCAAAGACTTATATGTGAAACCTAAAACTATAGAGTTCCTCAAAGAAAAACTAGGGGCAAATTTAGGGGCCCCAATATATGACATAAATAGACTATCAAGCATAACCCAAAATGCACAAACAGCAGAAGAAAAACTAGATGAATGGGGCCTTCTAAAAATTAAATTTTTATGTGCTTCCAAAGACTTCTGTAAAAGAGTCAAAAGAGAACCTATAGATTGGGAAAATATATTTGGCAATGACATATATGACAAGGGACTTATCTTTAGAATTTATAGAAAACTCTTAACACCTCAATAACAAAAATACAAATAATCCAATTAAAAATTGGATGAAGACATGAATAGACACTTCACCAAGGAGGATATTCAGGTGGCCAACAAACATACGAAGAAATACTCATGATCATTAGCCATTAGAAAGTTGCAAATCAAAACAACGAGATACCATCTTGCCCCAGCACTAGTAGCAAAGTTCAACAAGACAGAAAATAACAAATGCTGGCGAGGATGTGGAGAGATTGGGACTCTCATACACTGCTGGTGGGACTGTAAAATGGTACAACCACTGTGGAAAGCAGTATGGCGATTCCTTAAAAAGTTGGAATTAGAAATACCATTTGACCCAGACATTCCATTACTAGCTTTATATCCTAAAGAAGTGAGAGCCATAACAAAAACAGACATTTGCACACCCATGTTCATCACAGCACTATTTACGATAGCCAAAAGATGGAAACAACCTAGGTGTCCATAAACTGAGGAATGGATAACCAAAGTATGGTACATGCACACAATGGAATACTATGCAACCCTACAGAATAACGTAGAATCTGCAAAACACCACATAATGTGGATGAACTTGGAAGACACTATGCTGAGTGAAATAAGTCAATCACAGAAAGACAAATATTGTATTAGTCTGTTATTGTAAGAGTCAAGGAAAGTTTATCTATGGAAGGAAATGTTCTTTGTTGGTTACCAGGGGTGGGAGGGAAGGGGAGGGAACACTGTTAGATAGGTATAGGCAAGTATTGATTTGGGTGAAGGGAAGAGCAATGTACCAAATGTGAGTGATCAACTCAGTGGCACTGAGGAACAGGAAGACAGAGAGAGGTGCCTGGGAGGTACAGACAACAAAGATGAAACCTTTTGCACGTACAGTACTGCATTGTCAGTGATGGCAAACATTGATCTATGAGTGGATAGATAGGCAGACTAGCTGAACTATTAGGTATGTCTATTAAGCAGGGAATGTACCAAAGACCATGTATAGGGTTGGCAGACAATGGTCCTATAAGTGTATTTGTATGATCTGTAAGAATTCCCAGGTGTAAGTAGAGCTGACAAGGGACAAGTTTGTAGTCATTTCTTGGTCACAGTCAGCTACCCAGAGTGACTGAGTAGTTGGACCGGTGGGCTTAGGACCACAGTCGCAGAGGACATCAAGCTCAATTGGCATAACATACTACACAAAACACTGTTCTACCTCCTACTTTGGCAAGTAGTGACTGGGATTTTAAAAGCTTGCAAGCAGGCATCTAGATGCAACAATGGGTCTCTCCTCATCCAGAGCAAGGAAGAATGAAGAAAACCAAAGATTAATGGAAACAATTAGTCCTAGCTATTGGTACACCATGCGATCTGCAGCCTATACAACTAAGAGACCAAAAGAACTAGATGGTGCCCAGCTACCACTGTCAACCACTTAGAGGGGGATCTATGTAGGAGATCCTAGATAGAGAGGGAGAACAATGTGAAACAAAACTCAAAATCATTTGGGGAAAAAAAAAAGGGAACCAGGTTTGCTGGTGGGATGGAGCCTGGTGGAACCCCTGAGACTATGGCCCCTAGCTGCCCCTCAGATCTGACACTAAACCCACACCTGTGGCTTCCAGCCAAACAAAGGACAGGCATATGAATTTAACACTTACCTGAGTTAGATACACTCCTTGGAGTGAACAATCATGGGAGAAAGAAGGGCTATTTATGCACAGAGAGACAGCTCAGGGGGCAGGAGTGCATGGAGGGATGAACACAGGGGAGAGGTAACTATCAGGAGGAAGTGGGAGGGGAGCTTTTGCATTGTGGTAAATTGTAGTCAATGTAACGAGACAAAGTGTATGTGAACTGCTGTATGGAATGTGAATTTGCTCTGTAAATTTTCACCCAAATCACAATTTAAAAAAAAAAAAGTTGGAGCCTAGTTTCTCTCCCCTCAGGCTTGGACTGGACTTGGTGACTTGTTTATAACAAACAAAGTATGACAGAAGTGACTGAGTGACTTCTATGGCTCAGTCATGGAAGACACTTCTCATACCTCCTCCAATCTCTCTTGGGGAAGTCAATGCCATTTCATGATGACATTTAAATTGCCCCATGAAGAGGCCCATGTAAACTACCACTTGGTGAGGAACTGAAGCCTCCTGCCAACAAGCATGTGAATTAGCTTGGAAGTCTATCTTTCAGCCCCAGTCAGGCCATCAGATGACTGCAGCCATGGCCACCATCTTGATTAAAACTTCATGAGAGACCCTGAGCCAGAACCACCCAGCTAAGTCACTTCACAACACTTCACATACACTCTACCTCATGACATTGACTGTAATCTCCCATCATGCAAGGGAGCTCCCCTCTCACATCCTCCCCATAGTTACCTCTTCCCTGTGTCCTTCCCTCCCATGCACTCCTGCCCCCAAGCTGTCTCCCTGTGCATACATAGCCCTTCTAATCTCCCATGATTGATCTCTCCAAGGAGTCTATGTACCTCATGTAAATGTTCAGCTCATATGCCTGTCTTCTGTTTGGCTGGAAGCCAATTCCAGAACTGAAGGGCAGCTAGGGGCTCCACCCCTAGCTGTCTCAGGGGTTCCACCAGGCTCCATCAGACCAACAAACCTTGTCTCTTTGTATTTACAATTTTGAGTTTTATTCTACATTATTCTCCCACTCTATCTAGGATCTCCTACATGGATCCCCCTCCGAGTGGTTGACAGTGGTAGCCAGGTACCATCTAGTTCTTTTGGTCTCATAGTCATACAGGTTGAGGATCACATGGTGTACCAGTCCCTTGGACTAACTGTTACCCTTGTTTAAATAAAAAAGTGAAAAAACAAGATGAATAGACTCTTCACCTTATTTTCATAAGGTGCAGCATAAGCACTCAGGACATTCTGCTAACCTGGCTAAGTCTACAAGAATAGATGGATGTGCTAGAGGCCTAGGAACATCCCTCCAGCTTCAGCAGAACACGTGGAGCTAGTCCTCATATACCAGTTGTAGAGATTCAGCCTAGAAAAGACAACTTCTGCTTCTATCTTGTGTGAACACTGTACCAGAAGAAAAGACAGAACTGACCTTTCGCAAGTGGTGCAATGGTGATCTCCCTCTCTGCCAGATTCACAAAGACATCATAGAGGTCTGGTCTGTCACTCACCTCCAGGTCTACAAATCCAGCAATGTAACCTGTAGGTCAAAGACGACAAGGCTACTATGATATTGGAAGAGATCATACTGTGAACAAATCAAAAAAGGAAGTGAGTCTTAAAGGTAGTCAGCTGCTTTCCATCACTGTTTTATTTATTCAGGGAACATGAGCTGTGCCCTGTGGCATTTATTAAGACTACGTTATTGTCAACTGCCTGCAGAAATTCACACGACTCATAATGTTCCTAAATTAGATTATGGTGTCAAGGACAAGGCTGAAGCAAAGCGTTTACTTTCACTCGTTGCTTTTCAGGTCAAGAGTGGCAGATGAGGCAGGAGCAGAAAAGCTTCTCTTGACTGTGCTCCCTGCGGGCCTCTGGCTCCCTGGGTTTCCAGGGCTGGCATGCTGGAAATGGCATCAGCTTTTACTAATTTCATATCTGAGACAAAGAATGCTCCAGGAATTGGGGCAACTCAGGAACCAGCAGACTTTTCAATCAAGCACTTTTTCCTTGGAATTGGTGTTGAGACAATGGTCCCAGACTTGAATTTCAGAGAAATTCTGTTTTTAAAAAATTCTTTTTGAGGGTCAATTTGTTGTTAGTACATTTTTACTTTGCCAAGTGAGGCCATTTAAAAAGCAACAATAGCAACAAAAATGGACTCCCGAGAGCCACTTGTGTATGAGAAACCGTGACCTGTGACAGACAAGAACCTGCTGCTCCCTGGAGACAGGAGGATCATGGGCCAACTCATTGTCCATGCAGGCAATCAGACCCCAGCTTCATACACCACATAAAAGGAATTCCAAGTGGATTAAAGACGTAAATGGGAAAGAAAAACTTTAAAAACTTTTATAAGAAAATATGTGAGAGTATCTTTCTACCCTAGGAAGTTTCTTAAAATATAGAGAAACTGAAACCATAGAAGTCCAGTATATTCCAGCAATTTCCTTATAAATTCTCTAAGACTTGAGAATTCAAGACACCATAAGGAAATTGAAAGGAAAAAAATTCTCAGACTTGGAGATGTTTGCAGCAGATATAATCAAGAACAGAGTCATGTCCTGAATATATAAAGAAATCTTATCAAGCAATAAGAAAATCAGTAAAAGGAAACATAAATAGCAATAAACATAGAGAACTATGATTTAACTCATCAGGAATTAGAAAAATGCAAATTAACTCCCAGTGAAATACCACTGAACAGCCGCCAAGTGGGCAAACATTTTAAAGCTTGGTAATACCAAGTGCTGTTGAGGACATGAAGCAATGGGACTCTCCAACACTGCTGATGGGACAGTAGCCGGTAAATTAAGGTGGCATTCCCCAGCAAACATGGGGATCTGTATACTTTTCAAACAACTCATGGTCATCAAGTCGATTCCAGTTCACTGTGACCTCACAGGACAGAGTAGAGCTGTCCCATAGGGTTTCCAAGGCTGTAAACCTTTACAGAAGCAGACTGCCACATCTCTCTCCCAAGGAGTGGCTAGTAGGTTCCAATCACCATACTTCTGGATAGTACCCAAGTACTGCAGACACCGCACCACTTACAACTCGGGAATTCTCCTCCCTGACATGCACCCGCAGCTACAGCGCAGGCGGCACTGTCGTCACAGGGAACAACTAGAAAAGCAGCACTGGAGACCCTGGGCATCATCCATCCGACAGAGTCCTACGTGCCGGGGACCAGGCGCAGGACCGCAGATGCAGATCTCAGGGGGTGGGTGAATGCCACGCAAGAATGCAACAGTAAGCAAAAAACGCAGGCCATCAAAGAGTCCATCCATCATGATGCCACACAAAGAAAGTGAGTTTAGCAAAAGTAAATATGCTGTTTAGAAATATGTGTTAGTGTGTATGGCGGGGGGAGCAGAGTGAATCCACAAAGAGGTGCAAGGGAAAGATAAACACTTGTTGAAAGAGAAGGGGGCCCTGGGCCGGTAAGGCACATGGGGGCTCAGAGCATGGCAATGACCTACTTTGTCATCTGTATGATGGGGCCATGAGTGCCCCTTTTGTTTCTATAACTTGCATAAATATCACATGTTCTTTTGCATGTAAGGACTATTTTATAATTGAAAGAGCAACAATGGAAGCCTCTACCATGTATTATCATCACTGCCTTATGAAGGGCCCTTTAAATACCTTGAAAACATCAAAAACATAATAACCTTACTTTAAAAGAAAAACAAAACACTGTTACTGGAAAGGTAAGATGCCTATGGAAATAAGTAATAATACATTATTTAATTATTTCCAGAATCTTATTAGTAATCATTATACACATCCAATAACATCATTTAAAACATAATTTTAACTATTCCTTTGAGAAAAATCATAGAAAGGCTCAAAATGAGATCTAAACATCCTAAATCAAATCACTGACATGGAAACTTTTAAAATTAGAATTTTACAAGTCATAAATTGGTTAAGAAGAAATAATAAATAATTCTTTATCAGTATCCCCTTAGAGACGCACACACAAAACTCTCAACACAGACCACCTCCTCCCCTGGTCCCACGGCTACCTGGGCACATCTGCAGAGCTTCCAGCTCATCGCCATGGAGGTGCACATAGGAATGGAGGGGGGTCCAGTCCTGTCGGTGCCACACCAGGGCGGGCAGTGTCCTGGGAAATCAAGGCAAAACTCAGAGTTGCTGGACTGTACCTCCCACAGCACACCTGCCCTCCCCTCCTCTTAAAGAAAGGAAATGAAGAGGGTAGAGGCACACAGCCAGCAGAGGAGAGATCAACGCCTAATGTGCCAACATGCCATGGTTTCAACGCCCCTTGTTAGTCTGATTAGCTGCACAAAGCTCAAAGTGAAGTTTGCAAACATTTCGATGGTGGCGAGCTGTGAAGCTTCTCAAGTTTTCTGCCCGACATCCCACTCTGCAGACTGCAGCAGAGGGAGTCTGTGGGTAAAACCCAGCAGGGGCTCCTGCAAGCAAGAAAGTATTTTGAAGTTTCTTGTTTTACATTTAAAATTCCAGACAAACTTGCAAACCACTTTGTGTTTGTCTTTACACAACATAGGTTTTCTTATCAAAAACTGAAGGAGCTCTGGTAGTAGCACAATGCCTAAGGCATTTGCCTGCTAACTAGAAGGTTAATGGTTCAAACCCACCAGCCACTCTGCAGAAGGAAGATAGGGCAATCTATTTCCATAGAGATTTACTGCCTTGCAAACTCGATGGGGGTCACTATGAGTTGTAATTGACTCAATGGCAGTGAATTTTTTTTTTTTTTTTTTTTTTTAACAGAAACTTCTGGTAAAAACAGCTACTGCAGGAAGATGTGCCAGTTTATCAATGGCATCATTAATTCCTGGTGCCCTGTTCAGAAGCTGTGGACACTCCAAGTTAAGCATAAATGTAAAGACAAAAGGTAGTAGAGTGGGAAAACACGCGGTTTTAGAGCAAGACAGAGCACGGTGAAAATTCTGACCCTCTCATTCTAGGGCTGAGACACCCACGATAAGACCCTAACAAGTTCTCAAGCAGAGAGCCTGGGCAAGGCACGTTGGTAAGGAAGCATTTCACACAAACGCTTTCTAATCCTAGAAACACCCCATGAGGTACCTTGTTAGGTACATATCAGTCCTCTTTTACAGACAAACTGAGGCTCAGAAAGGTTAGTTATCTTTTATATCACAGAGCTAGGAAGTTGCTCTCCCAGGAATTAGCCCATGTCTTTCTGACAATTAAGCCTTTGCTTTTTTTATGATCTTACCACTTAGCCTCTCTGAGCCTCAATTATCTCATCCATAAAACAGAAAGACAGTATACCCTTGCAAGGCTTTCGTCATGAGTAAATTTAATAGTTTCAGATGTCTTACACAATGCCCAGCATACAGTAAGCACAGTGCAAATGCTTGTAAAAGATCTGAGAACTAGTTGGATCTGGTGAACAAACAAAAACTACAAAGAATCTACAAAAATCTACAAAGAACAATTTACTCTAGAACAGGGCTTGGCAAACTATGGCCCATAAGCCAGCTGCCTGTTTTGGAAAATAAAGTTTTATTGGAACACAGTCATGCTTGCTTGTTGATACAGTACCCACTGGCTGCTTTTGCATAATTACGTCAACATGAATAGTTGCAGTGGAGATCACATAGCCTGCAAGCCTAAAATATTTATTCTCTGCCCTCTGTAGGAAAGTTTGCTGATTCCTTGCTCTAAAACGTTCTTATTTACAAATTTCAATGAGAATTTGCCCAAATTCAGTGACTCTGAACTACTAGATCTAAACGAAAACATTAGATCAAAATGGCATTTCACTTCTGGTCTAACACGTTCTGTTTATATCAAATGTGCAACAGACCAGAGTACAAGGTAACAGTAGTGCCCCAAACCAGGAAGTGTATACTTTTTAATGATTAGAGTCCATACCTGGTAAACTCCTGGACAGCTTCTATTCTTGGGTGATAGACCACAATTCTTTTCTTTAGCATCAATGCTGTGTATAAGATAATAGTTTCCATTCCAAATTGAGATACAATGTCTTAAAAAAAATATATATAATGTTACAGCATTAAATACTACAGAAGAAAATAAGTCTTATCAGAAAGAATTCTTGTGATAAAAATGCAAAACTATTTTCAATACAGAGAAGAAATTTACGCAAATGCAAGCACAGAAGCACCTATTTGGTGGATGAGTAACACACACTCATCCATCCATCTGCTCACTGCAGTGTGACAGCAGCCTCCCACTGCCCCGAGGGGCTCCTTGCTGGATGCATGTACCAAGCCAGGTTAAGTGCAGTAAATGATGTGAAAGCCACCTACATGTTTGTCTCCTACAAACATTGTGACTTTACAAATAGGCTCACTACACCTCCCCCCTCCACACAGACACATGGGTCATTACTTAAATTCCTTTCAGTTAACTTGATGAACACCTAACACCTTAACCATTCAGGACAGTGGGATTCCAGAGCAGAGACAGGCATTGTAGATGAAGGCAGGCCAGCCTTTAGAATTCCCTTCTCCTTCCTGAGGATCCTGAAGGCTATGGCATAGCCCTGTGCTGGCCTCTGTCATTTTGGGTTTTCCAGCTAAGAGAAGGAGCACTGGTGGCATAGTGGGTAAGGCATATGGTTGCTCACCAGAAGGTCGGTGATTAAAACCCACCAGCTGCTCCACAGGAGGAAGATGAGGCAATCTACTTCCATAAAGATTTACATCCTCAGAAACCCAATGCAATGAATCAGAATTGACTCTGTAGCAGTGGGTTTGGGTTTTTTTTGTTGTTTTGTTAACTAAGAGAGAAGGGCTGGGGGTGGGATTAGGGACTCTTGAGTTAGGGGCTTCAGACCTCCTGATGTCAGTTAGTTGCTAAGATCTAAGGAAAGGAAAACAGTGGACACCTTGAGCCTTGAATTCAGCTACTGGTGAAAGCACATTTCTGTAACAGAACAATATGGGCAGGACCGCCATAGAAATTTGCTCTCCGTTACAGAACCCTAAGTCTGCAATCTCAGTTTACAAGTTAGAAGATGATGATTATTATGTATGGAAAGATGGCACAGGGGAGACTGTGGTAGTTAAGGTTGTGTGTCAACTTGGCTGGGCTATGGTTTTGAGTGGCTGGGCAATTGGATATAGTTATTTCCCATGATGAGCTTGTAATCACCTCCATGGTACAATCTGCTGAGATGTTAATCAGTGGAAAGGGAGCTGCCTTTGGACTGTGGCCTGCTTGCAGTATATATGAAGGAGCTTTGAGAAAGATCTCTAGCTTCTGCACATTTAAATCCTTCATCTCCAGTTCTTGGACTTGAACCAGTGGCCTGCCATGTTGCCTGCTGATCTTGGGATTATGCCATTTTACCTGCCGACCTTGGGTTTGTCAGCCTCAGCAACAAGCAGCTCCCAAGTTAAGAGATGCCTCCAGCTCCAGTGGGTCTGGAACAAGAGGCAGAGCTGAAGCTCAAGGTCAAGAGGCTGGCACTCTGAATTGGGACCTCCAGCCTCCTAAACTGTAAGAGAGTAAGTTCCTGTCTGTCCCCTCCACCTGTGATATTTCTGTTACAGCAGTACTAGAGAACCAAGGCAGAGACTGAATAAGAGACTGTCCTTGGCTTGAGGAGTTTGTTGTTGGGATGGGGTTTTTTTTTTTCAATTGTCATGAAATATACCAACAGAATATACACCAATTCAACAATTTTTACTAGTATAATTCAGTGACACTGATAAAATTCTTCAAGTTTGTTTTTGCTTTTTTGTTACCTTTGATGGAGCCTGCAAGGTATGCCTTCCGGGCATCAAAATCCTTGCTGAGGAAGGAGCCATTTTCTTCACTCTGGCATATGCCCTTTGTGAGCACTGCAATATAGCTCTCCATCATTTTCACTGGGCTCCCATGTTTCAGGTACATTCTGTAAAAAAAGGACAAAAACCACCATGCTTTTATTAGGTGAACCACACACAGAAATGCCCCAACAGTAGGGATGGGAGCCTTCTAAAGACCCTAAAGCCAACTTGCTGTAAACTTCTGAATGTCTGGGCATTTTCCTGACATGCATCACCTCCTTCATTTAATTTGAAAATGTATTTTTAAAATAAATAAATAAACCCTCCCCACACACACAGACACACACACTTGAAAGCCAGTCAACAATTCTTTTGAAGTCAGCTCTCTCCTTATGGTGGAGCAGCTGGCTACAGTCTACTAAGGCAGGAGAATGGACCTGGACTTTCTGAGGCTCCATTATTCCTGAGAAGACTGTGTACTTTCCCTGCCTCTTTTTATTTCCTATATCCATAGCTGATTCTTAGTCATAGCTCGGTTTCATTGCTGGGATTTCCTTTGACAAGAAAGGAGTCATAAGCACTGTGCACAGAGAAGCCAGTAATTAGTTGTAGAACTCATACTTATTATCCGAGTTCCCAGAGGTAGCTATATTTAGATAATTAATAAATCAAAACACCTTTAAGTTTCTTGTGATAAATGCAGATTAGATGCGTTCATCGCCCAGTTAAAACATCCAGAAAATGCTGGCAGGAAAGCAACAGCAGGGACAGCTCACCTGCAGAACCAGTCTCTCCCCGGAAGGCTCTTGGAGAGCAGAGCACAATTGTGCTTGAGGAACGAGGAGTACCACTGAGGGTCCTCAGGCCTTTCAGGAGCCGATGGGACAGAAAACGGGAAGGATCTAAAACTGATGTTTATGCATAGCACTTGAAAATGCTATTTACTGTGGATTAAATTACAAAAAAGTGTTTTCAACCGTCTGCCATCTTTTGTCCACCATAAGGGTGTTTTTATTATTTCAACGCACAAATGGAGAAAAAAGGTAGAGAATAATGAATATAGTCACCTCTCATCTATAGCCAATACCTTCAAACCCCAAAATCACACACACACTTCCATGCCAAGAAAACACCTGACAGGAGAAAAGGAAACCTGTCACAGGGCTTGTCTTGGGGTGGAGGGTCAGGACACGGGACCAGGGCCTGCGGAACACGGGCAGAGGAGCGGGGTGGAGGGTCAGGACACGGGACCAGGGCCTGGGGAACACGGGCAGAGGAGCGGGGTGGAGGGTCAGACGCGGGCCTAGGGCCTGGGGAACACAGGCAGAGGAGATTTCTTTCACTCTATACCCTTCTGCATTGTTTGTATTTCTTTTATCATTATTTATATTACCACCAACTAAAAATAAAAATGCCATTAAAAATCATAAAGCAGAGCATCAGCAAAAAAAAGAAAGACCTCCACTGAGATGAGCAACAGTGGGCTCAAACGTAGCAACGATTGTGAGGCCCGGGCAATGTTTTGTTCTGTTGCAATTAAAGTTGCTATGCATCAGAACCAACTCAATGGCTCCTCACAATTATATTGTCATCACCAACTAAAAATAAAAATGCCATTACAATTGTAAAACAGAAACAATGCATAATAATAGAGAAGGAAACATGGCTGCCACACCTGGCCTGGGCCGCTGATTCCAAGTGAAACCCTCACTCCCCACACAGCCACCAACTGTGGGGACCAGATGAAGGCATTGTGGCGGTGGACCCAGATCCCACCAGGAACAGAGTCTTTCCCACTGAGCTTCCACTGCTTTGGCGAGCAGTGCACCTTGGAAGGCACGGCCGCCTGCTCTCCTCACCAGAAGTGGGAGGGAGCAGTGTGTTGACCCTACCATAATGAGAAAGTATTTATCTATGACTGCATATGTGCACACACTTGTGAGTGGGGTGTGTGCACAAGCACACAGGTATGTACGCAGGGAGGGCAGCACCAGAGAGCAATCAGGGTAGGAGGCAGAGCAGATGAGTGGCAACAGCATGCATCATTTTGCTCACACTGGGATGGGAGGGGAGAATCCAGGATGCTACAGTGCCAGACACTGCAGGCCCTGGGGTACCCTCAGGGCTCCCCACTAGGTAGGAAGGGAGGCCTGAAGTCACTTTGCCTTCTGTTGTTGTCAGGTGCCATAGGGTCAGTTCCAACTCATAGTGACCCTATGTACCATCCTCACAAGTTGCTATGTTTGAGACCATTGTTCCACCATTGTATCAAGCCATCTCCTCAAGAGTCCTCCTCTTTCTTACTGATCCTCTGTTTTACCAAACATGATGACTAATCCTCCTGTTAACATGTTCCAATATATGTGAGACAAAGTCTGGCCATCCTCGCTTCCAAGTGTCATTCTGGCTGTACTTCTTCCAAGACAGATTTGTTTGCTCTTCTGGCAGTCAACGGTATATTTAATATTCTTCACCAACACCATAATTCAAAGGCAGAACCTCTATATAGAACAAGAGGCAATTGTTCAAACTGAACAATGGGTACTACGTGATTTAAAATTAGGAAAGGTGTGCGACAAGGTTGTATCCTTTCACCACACTCATTCAATCTGTATGCTGAACAAATAATCTTATAAACTGAACTATATGAAGAAGAACGTGGCATCAGGATTGGAGGAGACTCATTAACATTCTGTGATATGCAGATGACACAACCTGGCTTGTTGAAAGCAAAGAAGACTTGAAGCACTTAATGATGATCAAAGCCTTCAGTATGGATAATACCTCAACATAAAGAAAACAAAAATCCTCAAAATAAGCAATATCATGATAAACAGAAAAAAGACTGAAGTTGTCAAAGATTTCATTTTACTTTGATCTATTATCAATACACATGGAAGCGGCAGTCAAGAAAACAAATGATGTATTGCTTTGGGCAAATATGCTGCAAAAGACCTCTTTAAAGTGTTAAAAGAGTAAAGATGTCACTTTGAGGACTCAAGTGTGTCAGATCCAAGCCATGGTCTTTTCAATCACCTCATACACATGTGAAAGCTGGACAGTGAATAGGAAGACTAAAGAAGACTTGATGCCTTTGACTTAGGGTGTTGCTGCCTTCTGGATCCCTAGAGTATTTCCCAGTGAATTCAGGTGAGTAACCTAACCCTGACATGCACCGGAGTCCAATGTTTATTCAAAGGCTCCTCTCTAATGGTTTAGTCCGCAGCTTCTCCTCTAGCAGCATGATCTCCATTTGTGTTAATACCACTGTAGCAGACAACTGCTTACGGATCTGGCTTATTCCAGTAAGTCTTATGCCTGGAACTGCTGACAGCAAAAGTCTTTATCATCATATCTGGCTGTAAAAACAGTAAAACTACATTTCCAAAAACCTTTAAATAAGGAGAAGGCATTGTGACACTGCGTTGTGTCTTGTCTGTGTGTGACTGCACATGCATGCAAAGGGCCAAAAAGGACCATTCATTGGGTTTATAGTGAGAGAAAGAAAAACCATCCTCCTAAAAAAATAGCTGCTTCCAGGAAAGCCTGAGGGCTGAGGGCAGGACATAACATCTAGAATTACAATTCTATCTAACGAGAGTCATATTTTAAAAACCCCTGAAACTCTGCATGTCTTCATGATTAAAGGAAGAGTCAATGTCTATAACAGATGAAAAAAGATAATCCATTAGACTTACTTACTGCAACAAGAAAGGAGACTAGTATGTTTTAGGTCATTTTTATCATGAGCTGAACTAAAACTAGGACTCTGCTTGAATCACAACCAAGTAACCAGAAATTCCCATCCCGTCCGCATCCAGTTAAGAAAAGTTTCCTGTGCTTGAGTGTCATTCAAAGTGATCATTCACTTTCTCCCAGAATGATTCCCACACACAGACCTTGACACATACGAACCAGCTTACCCTTTATAAGGCACTTAATTTACCCATCCTGCTAAGGAAAGTTCTAGATTGAGAAGCGGGTAGAAGTAACAGAGCAAAAGTGACAGGTGACTCAAAACACTCGGGAACTACAGAGCTGTGCAAACTGCCTGCTTCCTTCCCCAGATCTTTTCCCAAAGAAGAGAACCAGGATCTTCAAAGCAGAAGACACAGTCTCTCTTTACAAGACAGTCTTCGAATGATCACTAAGGACGAAGCCAGAGAGGACTAGCATCTGCTTCCACGTCTAGAAACCTGCTCTGCAACTCATCAGGGAGATCTTCATTTTTGTAAATTAGCAGTTAATACAGTTGCATACAGACCTACACAATATCCTAGTGAAGGCGGCATATTTCTCTGGGTTAAAATCTTTGGCGGTCAGAACAATAGAAAAATGAGTCACCTGTCCAAAAGAAACAAAAAAAGTACACTTTTTAAAGACACTTTAACAGAATTCATTTTTTATTACTACATTTTAATAAACCTCTTGTATAAGACATGCCAGCATTAAAAGGAAAAATCAAAATTTAACAAAGTCCTTATGCGTGTGTATATACATATATGGGACTTCTGGTGGTGTAGTGCCTAAGGCATATGACTGCTAACCAGAAGGCTGGCGGTTCAAACCCACCAGCCACTCCTCGGAAGGAAGATTGGGCAATCAGTGATACTGCCTCGGAAGCCCAAGGAGGGGTCGCTATGAGTCAGGGCTGACTCGACGGCAAATAACAACAACAACTGCCTCAGAAACCCAACGAGGGGTTGCTATGAGTCGAATCCGACCCAACGGCAGTGAATTTGGTTTTTTTGGTATATACATATATACATACACACACTTAATTCTACACACACTTAATTGCCTACATGACTGCAATACTTAAAAGAGTTGGAATTTTTTTCAAAAACATCCCTTGCAAAAAAAAAAAAACCTTACCGAAACAGTTCACTCTAACACTATAAATGTGAGCTTTTCTTTAATGCTCTCTAATCTCATCAAAGTAGAAATAGCCAGGGTTGCTAAATCAGACTGACCAACTTAGCAACTGTTTTTCATCAAGGAGATAGAAGACAGTAAAAACACATCTGAATAAAAATCATACAGTTCTGGAAACAGTCCACTTTCGTGGAGTGCTGCACTGTAAAGGGCACTGTTACTTGGCAGTATGTGATGTAAAACACAGGATAAATATATGGAGGATGCATCAAGACTTAACAAACATAAATATTTTATAACACATTGAAAACCACCTTTCTGCCAAGTTCTATTTCCTGACCCTGAATCTGTTTTGTCCTAAAACTGCAACAGTTTCTCAAATACTGCCTTCCTGTTCTTTTAGATGCAATTCCTTACATTAAACTTGTGTCTTGGTCATGCTTGCTAAAGTTCCATTACTGGTTATAAAACTAGCCCTGAAAAGGGAAAGGAACTCCCACCAGGACATCCCATATGCTTAACCACTTCTTTCTGGGAGGAAAACCTGCCGGTTGCTTGGGATAATGGATGTCCACAGTGGCCACTTGTGGTGGTTAAGTTTGTGTATTAACTTGGCTAGGCCTGGCTGAGTAGCTGGACAGCTAGATGTAGTATTCCCCATGATGAGACTGGCAATCAACTCCATGGTGGAATCTACTGTGAGCAGCTGAGTAGCTGCCTTTGGGTTTGTGGTCTGCTTCCAGTATATAAGAAACAGCTTTGGGAATGGTCTCTAGCTTATGGCACACTTGAACCCTGCATGTAGCCGTGTCGTTGTTCAGCAGCCTGCCATGCTCTGCCAACCTTGGGACTTTCAATGGACTTAAATTAATGGCCTGCTGGGTGGTTTGGTAATATCGGGACTGTGCCATTTTATTTGTCAACCTTGGGCTTGTGAGCCTCAGCAGCCACTAGCTGCCTGAGTGAAGAGATGCCTCCAGCTTTAGTAGGCCGAGAGCAAGAAGCAGAGCTAAAGCCCAAAGCATTGAGGGGCTTTCACACAGCCCCTAGAGCCTGGCACTTTGAACTTGCACTTAAAGCCTCCAAACTTTTAGAATAAACTCCTATTTGTTAAGACTATCCCATTTGTGGTATATTCTTGTCAAAACAGCACTAGATAACCAGAACACCACTTAATGGTTTTCAATGTGTCATATTGATACTACTTGTATCATCACCAAAACAAGACTACTTAATACATGATTTCCTTAACTATTCCTTCTAGTCTCAATACATCCTTGTTGTCGACAAACAAATGGGAAAAAAAGTTTCGTAACTATGCCAAGGATAATTACATCTTTCAAAGCAGTTTTTAATTAGGGGAAAATACTTTTGATCAGTCACTGTTTTGAAACTACTTCTAGATATCTACCTCCATCAGTGTGTAACTTAACAAGCTCAGAGACCATTGCCGTACTGTTTGTTGATACGTCCCCACAGGGTCTGGCCTATAACAGACACCAGTCAATGCCCATAGAATGAATGAAAATGAACTGTGGAAGAGAACATTCCCAATGAAAATAATAGTCACTATTTCTCAAAAGTGTATCTTGAATAATAACTAAAGTCTATAGCTAAGTGTTATTGTAACAATCTTACAGCACTTTAAATACCTTTGCTTTTTTCCACCTTTAAGCAGTCATACCTTTTTCAAAACGGAAGCATCTGGAACTTCAGTTGTTGTGACATAGAACCACGTTCTCCGGTACTGCCCAAAAACGAAGGGATGGAGCGGCGTGTTTCCGTCGGAAAGGCAGCATTTTCTGAGCAGCAGCTTCCTTAGTGGGGCTGTCATGGAAGGATAGCACCACACCCACAGAACTTCTCCATTTGTGTCCTTTTCTACGGTGGAAAGATGGTCACTGTGAGAATGTCAAACAGCAGCAAGGAAGTGAATTGATTGGTTACTCAGAACTATTTACTGGAATCAGTCTTCACACCCCATTTTACAAAGCAACCCAAGTATGTGTAAGCCTAAATGCCCACCTACCTCCACTGGTCACATGATCTAGCTCCCATGATCTGAACTGGAGGACACTTGAGTAGAAAACTTTTGTAACAAATCAGGAATGAAATTTTAACCTTAAAGGTTTGGTAGAGGTCCTCCCCCAAATTCTCACAAACCTACTCAAGTTTTTTTATCTAACTGAAAGAGTTTTCAACACTACAGAGAATGGGCTTGTTTCTCAAAAAAATGTTTCTCAAAAAAATGCGGATGGGGAAGATGGTGAAATTTCAAATCATGTTACACAATGACCATATACATTCTATTTTAAATTTTTTAATAATAAAGTTTTTCCAGGCAGATATTTAGTTTTATCATGGAAGTAAGCACCTTAATAACAAAAAGGGAATGATTTCTGAATAATCAAAATTCTAGGCAAAAAGACCCTGAGCTTTAGCTGAACAGTAACTGGACATATAGCAGTAAGAGTTCAATTTTTAATATACAGGCTTAAAATTTTTTCTTATCATGGGATATACCAAGTACACAAAGTAAAGGGAATAACAGAATGGATACCTGTGTCTCCATCACTCAGATGCAGCAATTATCAACACCTGGCTTCATATGACATGTCCCACCCTCCCTCCCCCATTATTCTGAAGCAAATCCCCTGACAGCAGTGGTATCTAGACTTTTAAATTCACATCAACATACAAAATAAAATCCTGTTGAATGAAAATATGATCATAATTTTTTTTCTTTTGCCGTTCCCAGATAACGTAAGAATTTAACTCAGTCTTAATCCAGAGGTATCTTCAAGCTGGACTTGTGAGGTGCCTGTTGAGTCAGTTCCAACTGTTAAGTCTGCTCCAACTCACATCAATCCCATGTACAACAGAATGAAATACTGCCCGGTCCTGTGCCATTCTCACAATCATTGCTACATTTGAGCCCATTGTTGCAGCCACTGTATTAATCCATCTCCTTGAGGGTCTTCTTCTTTCTCACTGACCCTCTATTTTACCAAGTATGATGTCTTTCTCCAGGGACTGGTCCCTTCAGAAAACATACCAAAGTGCTTAAGACAAAGCCTTCCCATATTCACTTCTAAGGAGCATTCTAGCTGTACTTCTGTCAAGACAGATTTGTTCATTATTCTGGCAGTCCATGGTAGATTCCATATTCTTCACCAACACCCTAATTCAAAGGCACCAATTCTTCTTCTGTCTCCCTTATTGACTGTCCAGCTTTCACTAGTACATGAGGCAAATGGCAATACCAGGGTTTGGGTTATTATGATCTTGTTTATTGGTGCAATTGTGAGGATTTTTGTTTTATGCTGAGGTGTAATCCACACTGAAGGTTTTAGTCTCTGATCTTCATCAGTAAGTGCTTCAAGTCCTCATCACTTTCGACCAGCATCTGCATATCACAGGTTGTTAATGAGCCTGATAAAGATTCAACTAAACCACCAACGTCACTGCCATGTCACTGCCATGGAGTTCATTCTGACTCATAGCGACCCCCATTGGGTTTCTAAGGCTGTAAATCTTTATGGAAGCAGACTATCTCATCATTCTTCTCAGGGAGTGGCTGGTGGGTTCCAACCACAGGCCTGTTGGTTACCAGTTAAAAGCCTTCACCACTACACCACTAGAGCTCCTTTAATGAGGACTCCAATGTCTAAATACTTAGGTTTTGCTTTGAAGCAATTTAAAAATCACATTAGAAATGAACACAGGAAGCCATTCCCGTGTAAATGCTCTCCTCTGAGACACTGAAAAATAAATCAGCACAGTTCTCCAGTTTTGCTTCCTAAGCAACGTCCTTGTACACTGGGGGTTAGAGACCGTGTTCACTGCTTGTAAAGATCTAGGGAGGAACTGATATGTTCATTCAACCGACCTGGCGCTGTCACCTGTCTATGAATGGTTCCTTGAAACATCCACCTGAGGCCCTGACACGGCTCAGGCACACATTCTGGGTTCCCCAAAGATCCCAACGGACATCCCCATTCATGAAATCTTCTAAAGTAACCAGAATCCCGCCACGTATGGTTCTGCAGAGACTCCTGTTCTACGCACGAGTTCAATCACGTGACCCTTGAGTTCTCAGCTGGTGGAGCTGGGGCTCTGGGGCCAGGCTGCAAGGGTCCCAGTCCTGGCTCTGCCGCATCTTAGCGTGTACAAATGACACTTCTTTGTAAAGCGAGCATCGAGCATTACCTACACGTCACTAGAACTGCAGTGAGGGTTCAACCGGAGATAATCCACGTACAATGCGCAGAGTTAGCCTCCAAGCTACCGACCCCGCGATCACATGATCGAAGCCAAGCCTCAGGCTGAGCCGGCACAGTCACGCCTCTCCCCCCGAAGCTCCGAGCCCCGCGCCCTGCATCTCCCCGCCGCGGCCTACAGCCCAGGACCCGCCTGCGCCGCGGCCCCTCGCAGCCGCCGGCGCCTTCCGCCACCCCGAGGCCCGGGCTCTGTCAGGCAACCCGGGCGTCGATTAAGAGCTCTGCTGCGGGGCCTGGGATGTTCCAGGGTCCCTTCGCTCCGCCGCCAGCCCGGCCGGCCCCACGCTTGGGCGTATGTAGTCGGCCCACTGCAGCGGGTCGGGCCCGGCACGGAGGAGGCCCTGCAGCCCCCGGCCCAGGCCCAACATGGAGGGGCCGCGCCCTCCCAACAGCAGGCGGCGCCGGGGCCGGTGAGGCAAAGCCCATCCCGGCCCACGGTGGAGGCGGAGGCGGAGCTGGGGTGGCTGCGGGGTAGGGCGCCTGCGTCCTCACCGATCAGCCCGACTCCGAGCATCAGCTGAGTGTCCGCAGCCCCGGCAGCAGCCATCTTCCGCTGCCACAGCCTCGGCGCGCTGGGCGCTGGTCCCAGCTTCCCGCCGCAGGCCCCGCCCCCTCGCCCCGGCTCCGCCCCGCCAGAGACCCCACCCCATCGGCCGTGGCCCTGTCGGCCGGCCCCGCCCCTCCTAAGGCTCTACCCCTCCCTGAAGGCCCCACCCATTGACCCAGCCTCCCTACCCGGCCCAGCCCCAGCCTCGAAGCCCCGCCCCCGGATCCGCCCCGGCCCAAGCCTCCCAGATTTCCTCTGGGCCGCTCCACTCGCTTTCAGGATCTGGTCCTCCAATATTGGAAACCTCCTTTAGGCAGGTTCCCTCAATTTCTCTAATCTAGATTTCTTCCTCAGACTACTCAGCCTTCCCGCCCTCCCCTAGCTTCTCCTCATTCTGCCTCCGACTCCCAGTCTGGCTCAGAACAGCCTGACTGATTTCTAAAAACTGAGGCTTCCCTAGGGTGGGGTCAGTGTCTCCATTCATTCTTCCAGCCAACCACGAAAGAAATCTTTTGTTAGGGCATAATGTGACATTGGGAATATAGTGTTGGCCAAGACGGTGCGTTCCAGTGGGGGAGATACAGAATTGTGGAGTAAAATAATACTAACAGCAGCCCAGACTGGCAAGTGTCCTGAGGACAATAAACTAGTGCAGTGTGTTAGGGATTAACCAAAAACAAACTCACTGCAGCTTGCTCACTGCAGCTTGAGTCGGATCCGACTCAGAGCAACCCCTCCTTGGGTTTCCATTAGGGATTATATATCCTATAAGTACAGAGCTAGTGACCCCACCAGCCACTCCTCAGAAGGAAGACCGGGCATTCTGTGACTGTAGAGATTCAGCCTTGGAAATCCAAGGAGGGGTCTCTATGAGTTGGGGATCCACTCGAGGGCAGTGAGTTGTTTTGTTTTTTTTTTTACTTGAGTGACACAAAGGCGAAAAGGTTGGCGGTTAGATCTCACCTGCCTCTCTGTGACAGGTGAGATGACCTGTCTATGACCTGGTGACATGCTTGGAAACCCTATAGGACAGTTCTATCCCGTCATATAGGAGCTCTGGTAGCATAGTGCCTAAGGCACTTGACTGCTCGCCAGAAGGCTGGCGGTTCAAACCCACCAGCCACTCTTCGGAAGGAAGGTTGGGCAATCCTACTTCCGTAGTGATAATGCCTCAGAAACCCAAGGAGGGGTCGCTATGAGTCGGGGCCAACTCGACAGAAAACAACAACAACAACAACACCCCGTCATATAGGGTTGTTACGAATCAGAATCAACTCAATGGCACACAACACACATACACGCACATTTATCAACATACATACACACATAAATCCTCTATACATTGGACACACACCCTTCTGCTGATAATGATTACCTGGGAGGAAGGGTGTGGGGCAAGGTGAGAAGGGAGGTTTGGGGCTGGGTTCTCCTACATTTTTTTGATCTTTTACAATGAGGACATATTCATACATGAATCACATAATAAAATGAAAATATGAATATTTATGCATGTATTTATACTACATATAAAGTCCATAAATAGACGATAGAAAAAAAATTCAAACATTGATGCAAATATTCAAATGCTAGTAACAGTGCTTCTCTTTAGGTGGGTAAAGACTTCAGCAATTTTTCATTCTTTTATTCGTCTTTGTTTCACAATTTAACAAAATATTTGTGTTATTTCAAATAGTGCAAATTAAAAACCTCTGAGACTGGGATGCAACTTTCCATTATAATTGCTAGCATGTATTGCCTTCCTTAATGCTGCCCAAAACAGTGGTGGGCATCATTGGTGACATTTCTGGATTTGATGAAACATGGTGAGAAGGAAAGATTGACAAGATACAGTAAATCCAGAGACCACAGCTCTCCTGTTGTCCCCTTGCAGCAGGGTCATTTGCTGATCTTACAGACACATTTAGCCCAAAATGAGTAATATAATTTTGCTGGTATTTGGGCCTGGGGAACCATTCTCCATTAAATTGATTTCCTTTGCACAGTGTGAGATGTTTGCAAAAAGATCGTGATGGAGAGTTCCAGCAAGATGGCGGACTAGGCAGAAGGATTGCACAGACCCTCTTCAACAAAGAAAAGGGAAACCAATTAATACAGACACAGAAGATAAT